GCTAAGATTGCACACTATTTACTTCTTTTTACCATATGACATTCTCTGTTTTCTGCAGTGATCTAACTTGAAACGAGTGTTATGTGAGCAGCATCACGTGCAAAATCATGACTGCTTTCTCAAAAAGCACTTGAGTTTTTTTACAGGTTAGCTATGGTAAAGAGCCTGGGCTTCTGTTGAAAGCCCTGGCACATGTGCAGTGCGGTATTTCATTTGCTGATGGTGACATGTAGTTTCCCAGAGGATGAAAAATACTACATTTAGGAAAAGTTTGATCTTCCAAGAACTCCCTTGTGATTGGAGGCTGTTGCTAGGCTCAACCTGCCCTCTACAAGGTGGAGAAGACCAGTCATAGTTACAGCAATGTAACTAATGTAACTCTCTCATGACGCTGAGCTTAAGACCACATCATTTATGGTGCACAACAAATGCACAGCCCCACCACAGTCTGAAGGATACAAGCTGTTCATGTATAACCAGCTTCACCTTGAATGATCTGCAACGTAACATGGCCTGAGAAGAGCAAACAATGCTCTTCCAGCCAGATGGCTGCACTATGAGCACCATGTGTTGTGCATACGTTGCACAGCAGGACAGGGACACAACCAGATGGAGTTCAATTAACCTTGCTGGTGTTTTCCTGAAAGTGACTCACTGCAAATTGGGCTGTCCCAAGTTTAACTCTGTGATATCAGACTTGCATGTGCTGTTGTTTTTTGTACATATAGGTTAGCATGTCTGAAGGACATCAGGGAATTAAAAAAATGATCATTTCTAACATAAGCTTTAAAAATGAAAGTCTATGGTGGTAACACAGGGGAAAAAAGATTAAAAAAAAAAAAAACTAAAAAATCTGAGGAAATGACAGGTGCAAATTCCACAGTCATTCACTCGAAGAACTCCCCAAAGAATGTGCAAGCAGGACACACTTCTGATTCCTGCCACCTTCACTTTGAGGCAACCCCATTCCAGCACATCAATGAGGTCTTTGACACAGCTTCATGTAGAGGAGACCGACACCATCTGCTTCTTGATGGGTTTTGTTCTACTAAATATGCAATGGGTGCTTTCATTCAAAGGGTCCAATATGTTCTAAGCATATTTATTTGGTTTGAGTTACTACCCTTGACTCCTATCAACTGTATCAACTGTAAAGATAAGATTTGCTGTTTTCTGCTCACGCTAATGTCCCGATTGAAGGATGTTGACTGACATCATCTAAGCTTCAGCCTTCATAGCAACACAGTATCAAGCTGAAAGGTGGAGCACAGAGGCAAAGACCTTCCCCTCTGCTCTGCCCAAGATCTCCTTTGACCAAGACTTTGGGACCAAAGACTGACCTCACGTCAGTCTTGCCAGGTTCAAGATAGGCTGGCACAGGACTTTGGCAAGAGGTTGAATTGTGACAATAAAGTGTCAGTATACTCAACCAGGACAGATAAGGTTGTTTCTTCATTCAGGATCAAATGATTAAGCTCTCAATCTAGAAATTATCAGCAATTTAAAAAGATAAGATATATTAAGGATATATATATATATATATATATAAAAAAAAAAAAAAAAAAAAAGAGAGAGAGAGAGAGAGAGATGAGAAATCTCTACGTGCAACTCCAGCTGCAGTTTGGTCAAAATCCCTTACACTTTGGTCCTCTCATTCTAGCTCCTCCCTGAAAACCAATTCAAGCCAACTTTCTTAAGACTGTTATTCATTCTGAGCCAGACATAAATTCCCTTGATTTAAATCAGGTCCTACTTTCTCTCTACCTTCAAAATGTAGATTTCATCCTTTTAAGAGGATGCCACATCAGTTATTTCACATGTGATCATTTACATACTCATCTACTGTGATTCTTTAAATAGATTTTTTTTCTAATTTTTTTTAACATCTTAAACATTAAAAATGAAAACAAAATACCATGTAATAAAGCTGTGTATTTGTGGATCACTGACAAAAGTCCTTTAATGTGAATATCTACTAATGATTTCTCAGTATCAGAAACAGAGGATGAGGGGCAACCAGGATTAATTCATTTTATTGGCAATACAACCATCCTTTCCATATATCAAATTTTTTTAATTTCTAAAGTATGTCACAAGAGGGTTATCAAGAACCCCTGAAGGTGCAAACACAAGCAAATGTATCTGGTCCCAATATGAAGGAGCAACAAATCAACTTTGAAACTCTATAATAAAAAATAAAGGAAAATAGATTGCAGTTTTAGACAATCATTTTTAAAGACATACAGTTATATCTGTATCTTGGATACGTGGCCTTGGATGTAGAGTTTGCAGAGAAACTCAGGCCCTTCCTTTACTTTTCCCTTACTAGGTAGGAAGCAACAGCAATGCAGCAGCAACATCAGCAAGGCTAAACCAGCCAGTATGCGAAGGGAGGCCAATTTAATTTTCAAACAAAACTGATTTTGCTCATTTGTACTCTCACACCAACATACACAACAGGCACCAGGATGCATGTGTAGGAGAAGACTGTGCAACATTTGGGCACCAAGGCTCTTGAATCCAGGAGGTCTTTGAGGGGTACCAGCTACTGAGTTCTTCAAGGGATACCAGCTATTGAGTTCTTCTCAGTTCATTGCAGGTTGGCAACCACGTGCTGATTTTGGATACGCTTTTTTGTTATCAGCCAGTTATCAATCCACCTCAAGATCAAGGTGACAAGTTAGATCACTAGGTCCAGACAGCATTAAAACCCTCAAGAACATCTCAGGATCACTCCTTATCATCCTTTCAAAATCAGATGCATCAGCAGGTTATGAAAATTTACAGTAACAGTAATTTGATAGCAAAATAAAAATAAAGTTTGACAGAAGGAATCAGCAATGCGTTGAAAAGTACTTATCTAAATGGATGCATTTGTACTGTGTGCCTGGAAAAAGGAAAAACTGCATATGTCTTTCATGAAGCCTCGAACAAAACTCCTGCTTGCTCATGTCCAAAACTGGACCAGAGAGGTGCAAAGAATAACCGCAGGGAGATGCCCAAAGGGCAGGCAACACTGGCATGGCACACGACTGATCTTGCCACCAATTCAGAAACAATTATAGGCAGAACAGATCACAACATTTCCACACACCTATGGACTAAACTGTGCAGAAGACAGTACAGCAGGAGACAGCAAAAATACTGTTTCCCAGCACTGAAGTGTGGCAATTTTTGAAGTTAGTGGCAAAAACTTCCTGGAAGATCAGAAGGACGGGCTTGAGCTGAGTTCTTTCTGTAAAAGCAGCAATTACTCAGCAAGAATAACTAAATTCACAGCACTTCTGATGGGACCTTTGATGTCTTACAGCTTTCTGGGGGCCTTTAATCATTAGCATCTGTTAGAGAATAGCACTAAATAGCCAACAGCTTCCAAGGAGACTGAGAGAATTGCTCGAGAAAGGGGAAATTAGAGTGAAAAAAAAAGGGCCTAGCAGAAATTATGGCATTAGAGGCCTGCTTGAGGTGAGAGAGTTATTGCTTCCAGGATGGTTGGTATGTACAGAATCTACCCCTCCAGAATTCCCTTGGGAACACAGTCTGCCCTCCTAGGACACACTAAAGAGAGTAAAGGCAGAGTGGAGCAGAATGGAGTCGCCATGGCCAAATGTTGATTTCTCTCTGGAGATGGTGGAGCGCAGTGAAGACACCGCGGCCAAATCTGCCATTCTCCCTGCAGAGGTGCAACCTGGTCATGCCATGCAGCTGATAGGTCACACAGTAGGATAAGATGTCTGGTGCTGGGCCAACAGTGGTGGCAGATCAGTCTCTTCCCATTCAGTCTCCCATTCCCAGTCTCTTCATTCTGTGGTTCATTATAATGCCAATACCACAACCCTATCCCAAAAGTTACCTGCTTCCAAGGAACGACCCTTCCTCACAGAACATGTTCTCTAGATTTTCGCTTAACTCAGGAGACTTTTTAAACCAATCAATAATGAAAGTATGACTAGAGTCACTCAAGCTCTGCCTAAATGTAAAAGAATATATAGAAAAGGTGAACTAAGGAGGGAAATGGAAGGAGAAAGAAGGAAGAAAAAAGAAAAAGTGAGGAAGGAAGAGAGGAAAGGGCAGACTCCATCGTAACTTCTGGATCAGTCAACAGGCTGAACTCCTTTCCTCTCCCTCTGGTCAAGAGGCCACCTGAGGAGACTGCTCGAGGTTGAGAGCCTTCTCCCATCTCCTGGGGTGAGTGATGATTGCACATTTGTACACTAGGCACTAGCTAAGAACCCCACATTGTTGTAGAGAATTTCCTGTACTGACATCTGAAACCTGTTCTCCAAATGTTGTATTTGAATAAATTGTGCTGTGTGAACACGACGACTTTTTGGGAAGGCAGTTGGACCAAACCGTCAACAGACTGTCATGTGCTCCTGAATCTGGTACTGCGAGAGCTGGGCCTACAGCTGGTCATGCTCTTTGTGCTCCTTCGAGTCACTCTTTTGAAGGTGATGGGACCTACAGTCGACAGACTGTTTGTGAATCCGTTACTGCCTGAGCCAGGCCTATAGTTACCATAGAAGTTGGTGCCCCTATTAAGAGATGAGGTCCAGCCACTCCCAGCCCCTCTAACAGTTAAGGATAAGCTGGAACACACCATCTCTTACCAAATTTGCCCCCCATACTCTTCAAAGGGCAGCAGAGGCTGCTAAGGAAGGAGAAAAAAAAGCAGAAGTCTCTGACAAACCAACATTCGCTGTTGTTTTTTTTTGTTTTGTTTTGTTTAAAAGGGTAAAAGCTGGTGTAAAACCTGGCTTCTTGTCACATTCCAAGGTTCACTCACTGTCCTGAGAGAAGATCATGCACTTAGCAGCTTTGTTAGTTCAAAAAGCTAGCAAGTAACAGGAAAACATTTTAAGTTTCTAGCTCTTACTGGACAAAACATGTATTAGTAAGGAACACAAATACACTAAGCCTATGGAAGAACATAATGCCACATCAGAATAGAAAAATAGACTCTCTGTTGTAACTTTTCATTACAAAAATATCAGTGAGACACAGAATTTCAACAATAATCTCACAGAACCAAAGGCACATTGAGGGACACACACATTTTTGACAAAACACAAAAACGCTGCACTGACCATTAACCCTCACAGTTTGAACAAACATTACAAACATTGTGAATACAAATGTAGACAAAATATTTTTAATGTAGTTAACAGTTGCTAAATTTTGGTGTCTCACTGGTTTTACACTGATCTGCTGGCATGCTGTTGGCAATATACACATTTAAATTTTGGCTCTACCAGAAGTCTTTGCACTCATTCATTAGAACACAGTCTGAGAGGGAAATAACTTGGTCCTTAAAACACGCGATACTGTCATTATCACATACAAGGTCATTTTTGTTAAGAGCAGAATTCAGGACTGAACGGGCTGGCTGGGAAAACTTCTGTTATTTCCTATTATTCCCACCTACACAAAAGAGCAAATAAAAAACTCTGGAAGAAATCACATCAGTAATGTGCTTTCCCACCCCCCAAAGAAACACAGCAAACAGACTGTAGCACACAGAGAGCCCCAGCTCTCTGCAGTGCCCTGACACACACAGCACGTAGATGCTGCTGAGCAGGTGCAGCACACGCCAGGTGGGTGCCCCGATGTTGGATTTCAGCTTTGTCCCTTTCCCAGTATCAAAGCCCATGTCAAGGATCCAGGCTTGATTCCTGTTCTTCAGTCTCCCCTGGCAGTTCTTCAGCAGGAGCACCACTCTCATTGTCTTGGCTGCCTGCAGACTGATTCAGCTCTTCAGGCTCCCCAGCTGCAACTGGAGTTTCTTCTTCTTCTTCCTCTTCAGCCTCCCCATCATCTTCTACATCCATTTCGAATACCCTCACATGACGGAGGTTTGAACTTAGCTATGGAAATATTAAAAATCTCCATTAACAAACCAATCAAACAAAATCACTCAACCTCCCTCATTCCCAAAACTGCAAACCAATACCAATTTATACGCTGGTCAATGGCTTTTATGAAATGTTTGTTTTCATTGAAAGGGAGATAACAACAAACCAGCAAGTGTTTTACTGCTTTTCAGATTGAAGAGCAACACAAGCTATCTGTTAACTTTGGTTTAACTTTTCCACTTCGTGTTATGAAAAGTATGACTGCCTCCTGACACACTTGTAATAGATTACGAGAAAATCTGCCAGTAAAAAAAACTTTCTTAATAAATTTCATTAACAAAAACAGGTTATTACTCCCTCCGATCATAGCACGAATTTCTTATAATTATTCACAGGATGTTGACAGGTACTATACTTACCACACAGGAAACTTTTCTAATGCCATTTACAGCAACATACTGAGCTTTCATATTCTCCAGCACTCTCCATTGATTCTCCAAAAACACTGTCCGTGTGGATATCTCACCACTTTGTTCATCCAGCCTGCACACAACCAGAACAGAAGCACAGACCTAGTGCATCAGAAACAACTCTAGTACCGAAAAAAAAAATCAGTTGGCCTGACTGTCTGGGGAAACATGCCAGATTTCAGGTGAGATAAAAGGCTACAACAGAAAGAAATGGAGTGTAGAGCTTAATCTTCATCTTTAGAGCTTAATCTCTTGGGTAACATCCTCTACAGCAAGACAATGAGCTTGGTTCAAGCTTCTTCTCTGCAAGAAGAGTTTCAGAACAAAGTGCTGAAGCCAATGCCTCCACTTACATCTAAGTTTGGCCTCCACTGAAGGGTTATGTATGAAGGGATTCTTTCTTTAACACAGTGGCCAGAATTAGTTTTAAATAGTCTTGTTTTAAATTGTTTTAAATAGACTCTTTATTCTTTAGTATTCTATTTATTCTTCAATATACAATTCTTTGTGACATAAAAGTCAGTATGTCTCTTTAGTTTCAGGTAACATATATATTAAGTCATCCACCAGAGAGGGGGAAAAAAAGTGAAACTTAAGTATTTTGACCAGAAAAGTTAACATTCTCCTAAGGAATGTTGTAACATTTCTGTTTCTACAGGATTTCCTCAGAATAGGTCCTTTCATTTCATTCAAGAAGATTCAAATACACGGGCAATTTGGCCTCAAAAAAACAACCCATGAAACTAACTGTTTAAGACTTCAATGAAATTAAAACCCTCAGCCTACTCCCACAACACAAGAAAGGTTTAGGTCTTTAAAAATATTTATACACAGAAAGTACAAGTAACTGTAGACAATGAAAATATGAAATTAATCTGCTTTTCAGCTCTGCATTTTAAAACTCAAGGAAAGATTTTCAAATACCTTTTAGCAGGATCCCAGATGAATTCCTTTTCTTGGTCCTCATCAGTGTATACTGAAGATAAAGGCAGCTGAGCCAAGATTCTCTCCTTCCCCTCTTGTTCCACACTCTCCTTCAGAACTACAGTTATTGTCTCATCATCATAGAAATGTGCATCTAAACAACTGTAGCACCTATGGGGAAATAAATAAAAAGCAGTATTTACTTTTTGGAAAGTGTCAATGAATAAAAGTGAATACAAAACTGAAATATTTTTAGGATCTACAGTGTTAATGATATATAAATGGCAGTGAGCTTTACTGTAAACTGTAAAACACCGTCCTGCAGCCAAGACATTGAAAGACAGTCAAAAACACTGCAATATTTCAAGGACTAATAAACTTTTCACGTTTCACTGAAAATGAGAAGAAATAACAATGCTAACAGGAGTAAACACAAGGAACACTTAGAAACTCAATTCAAAGCACACAGTGGCAAACCCACTGGTCTTTCTTTGTTAAAGGATAAGCTGGTCCAACATCTTCTAGAATACTTTCATTCAGGCACCTCAACTCTCATTCTGGCTTACTTTAAGAACATTATAGATAAAAGAACTGTTTCCAAGTAGCTTTGTTTTTAACTAGAAAGCTGTAGTTTACCTTCAGCTTAAAAAATAAGGCTCCCACAATCCTGGGTCTTCTCCTACCTGTGCCCTGTCTTACAGCCTGACTCCCTCAGAGGCTACAAGCTAGGCAACTAAGCCTGTTTGCCAGGATAAAAGGCAAACTACAAGACCTGAGAAGCTAACTCCATGTCATAAGCGCTGGAAAATAGAGCCTTCAATCTTCAAGCTGCAATTCTGGAATGAAAGTCAACTAGATATACTGACCTTGAGTCTGAGCTGTCATTTATACTGCTGTTCAAGAAGCTTCCAAACTCTACAGCAATAAGTCCATTATTGACAGATCTAAAAAAAAAAAAAAAAAAAAAAAAGAGTGACCATTCGTTATACCTGGGTAATTATTTTTCCACTCAGGAAATCTAAAGAACTCTGATGTGCTACAGAGAGAGATGCTGCAGTCTGTCTAGACTTTACACAACACACGGCTGTATCTCTGAACAACATCACTGGAAGGAAACCTTTTATTTTCTTCTTCCCTCAAGAAAACATGCCAAATAAATTCAATTGGGAAACCGCATCTGGCTGTAGCTTTGTGTTCTTCGATGAATTTCTGGCTCAACTGTCCTAGCCTCAGGTCTGTTAAGTTAGTTATTATCAAACTAAGTAAAAACACCAGTTCAGATGGCTTTAAACATTACTGGGGGAAAAAAAACAAGACAGAAACTACACCACGAGGCTGTAATTTTGTCATCAGAGACTCCCAACTGAAAACACAGAGAATAGCTTCACCAGGCGTTTTCTTCTGCAGTAAAATCACTTAAAAAATTCCCATCCCATCACAGTTCATCATCTCCTCACATGAAATAACCCAGCTTATAAAGTAAATCCTTTTGGGAGGAGTTTCTGATTTTTTTTTAAGGTCAAGACATTTCAGTGATCTCTCTGATAGAATACAACTTAAGCAGTTGCATCAGAACTGAGACAGTGACAAATGGCAACTTGGGTGCAGAATCTCCTGAAGCTGCACAAAACCACACCCAGAAGAGATGTTTCACCTATGAATCAACCCTCCCATTTTTTACTAGTGCATTAAAATACAGGTTGCAAGCGGTTAACAAAAGAATAACACTTACAGGAAGACAAACCACTATTTAAAGTTTGGTTCCTTACATGTTATCGCTCAAGAAAGTAATTGTGAGTAATTCTGCAAAACTAAAGGAGTCTGATTTTTTTTTTTTTTAATCCAAAACCTACAAACAACTTGGGTCTTGTGATTAGATTCTTCAAGTCTATTGAGACACAAACTCCTACCTCATTTTCCTACCACTCTCCCTAATGTCCTCCTCATCTATAGATTCCGTCAAAGAGGGATTGTGCTCGTACTGCTTACCCCTTTTTACAGAAAGATTCAAGTGGTAATTGGCTGTACACACGAGTACTAAAGCTCACAAACACAGTGCTTCGCCCATTTTTTTTTACCTGGAAGTATCCGTGTGTCTCCTCAAAATGTATATTTTGGAAACAGAGCTTTCTAACATGGTGAAGAGAACATAATGGATATTGGAGGTTTTATCATTCCACCTATAATGCAAGAGGAAGAAATAAAAAGATCAAATTACAGTAACTGCTAAATGGAACACAACGAAGAACAGCAGCATACTTACAGAAATGGAAGTTTAAATAACTGTGGCATGGAATCTTCACTGAAAGGAAAGCAAAACCAGTTTAAAAAGTACTTACACAATGTTGTATACCTGAGCTTTAAAAATAATGCAATAAATACCTTTGAGAAGTTTTGTAGAGAGACATGCAGACTGCTTGATTCACTGACTTTCCAATTACATCCTATCAATGAATGAATTACAATGAAAATAAACCAAAAGATACAAGAAGTTACTCACAGCTATACACCTTTTTAAGGCAAAATAAAGGAAAAGTAAAACCCAAGTACATTTGAAGGAGAAAGCCATCAGTATCTGTGCTGGAATAAACATCCCCACTGCAAACACTACTATCACTTGATACATTTCCTCTGCATTTGTTCTCTGCATATTAAAATGAATGTATTCCCACCTAATAGACCTATATAATAGTGCATACATGATGCTGATTAATGTTCAAATAGATTCCATTAATGTACAGGGTCAAATAAGAAAGAAACTAAGAAACATCCCACTATTCTGTTCCTAGCCAAAGGCTCGAGACCACCAGCAAAGGGGAAGCGAGGCCGCGTGCTACCACCTATGGGGTAGGCAGCCAAAAGTAAAGATTAATGTTAAAGTTTCCCCTGGTCTTGAGTGCTACTCCAAAAGAAAGTTGTAATTTGTAAAGACTGAACTTACAGCTGGTTTCTGTAAACACTGATCAATGATCTCTTCCATTTGCTTTTTGACAAAATGTAGCGACTTCTCAGGGTAATAGGGAAACAACAGTGGACTTTCTGTAAACAGATAAATGAAAGTTGATGTTAAAAATTCACATACCTCTAAAAATACACCGTATAATGCAAATGCACTGTAAAATGCAAAATGGAGTGAGGCTGGTGGAGGGGCACTAAGATGGTCAGGAGGCTGCAGTGCACGATTTATGAGGAGAAGTTGAGGGGTTGGCTCAGCCTGCAGAAGCGTGGGCTAAGGAGAGGGAGCCAGAGAGACTCGGAGACCCTCTCCTTGCGGGCCTCAGCACTCCACTGCACCGGCCATGATAAACCTGGCTTAATTTTGAAGTTAGCCCCCATAGAACAGAAGCTTGGACAACAGGACCTCAGGGTCCTTTTATTAATTATATCTGTAATACAACACCACATGAGGGAAATGAAGGAGTGGAGGCCTGTTCGCCTCTTCAGTAATCCCTCATCGCCCACTGGAAATTACAGAAACAGGAGGCTGCAGGTAGCCCAGACCAGCAATACAGTTTGTCAGGAAATATCCCTTTTCAGCAAAACCATTTCTATACTTTTGATAGTAGCTGTGTTTTGAGTACAACATGATCCATTCCCTCTTATGAAGGAAAAGACATGATGAAAAGACACTTAGTTTTTAAGATAAATCTTACTAATTATTTTGTATATGTAATCTGTTTCTTTTCCAATATTTAGCTGGAAAAATTACAAAAAATAAGCTAATCAGCAAATCAATATAGCAGGCCAAAAGAGGGTTAAGAGTGTCACACACAGAAGTACATGTAACATTCCTATCTCTATAAACTGTACAGGTCTAGGAAGAGAGCAAGACAAACATATCTCAACAACTAAATAATACAAAAACATTTACAGCAATCTGTCTACAAACAATCATGGATCTTGGATGGGAAAAGAAGTGAACAGAAGTGTCAAATAGTCTATATACGTTTATCTGAATTATCAAAAATATTTTAAAAGTATGTTTAAAATATTTCTAGGGATTGCTTTGCCAAATGGAAGAAAGTGCAACAGTTTCCCCAGTTTTCACTTAATTGTTAACAGACCCAGAAAGGCAACTGTGGCAAATTCCCTCTCATAATAACAAGAGAGCTCACACTGTAGAAACTTTGTAGTCCATAGTTTCTATGGTTAATGGAAACTTTGACTATTCTGGTCATTCTCAGCATCAGTTTGTTATTGTCTTTTACTTCCCTTTCAATACTAATTAAACAAAAAGGTGTAGGAGTACTATAAAATCTTAAATCCCAGACAGAACAAATGAAGAAGCTTCCCCCAGGTATGACCCAAGTGTATTATTACTTCCTTAGAGTCTTTATTAATACTTCCTTAGGAATTAAAGTCTCCTAAAATAGACATCTTCCTGGGATTCATTAGAAACCAACATTCTGACACTTGTTTATAAAGAGTAGGAAACTCCTAATATCCAGAAAAGGGAAACTGTCTGAATATTCAAACAGCTACGTGAAAACTCTGTTAAATAACAAGGTCCATTTATTTTATTCTACTTAGATAAAAACACATAACCAACACTACAGAAATAACTTAAGCATGAAAAACAGATTATTCTTCTAAATTTGTTCTTCTAAACAGTTCTTTGATTCACTGTATAAAGCACAAGTTACCTTTAAGATGGGTACTATTCTTAAGAAAGTTAAACCACTGATTTCCCTCTGTATTAGGTGGTGATACAAGGTCATCATCTTCATCTTTCAAATACTACAAAAGAAAGAGATAATTACAAGATCATTGTTTAGGAATAAAGGGCATCAGAATTCACTTCCAACACGGTCCCTCACATGTCGTTAAGCATTTCCCTTAATATGGTATGAATTATTCTTAATATTAAATCCTCCACTCTTCCAGGAGCTAATAAGAAAATAAATTATTGTACACAGTGATATTTCCATGTGAATTCAATCTTAAAATGAAGGATGAGTGCAAATGTTTTGAAATTCCATGATTAATGGCATAAAGACAAGCAGATTTCAGTTACACTAACATTGCTAGTTGCAAAATAATTTCACCTGTTAAAATAGAGTATACATAAGGTAAGATTACACAAAAAATTTTAAACACTCCTTTTCTTAATAATAGTGGAAAATAATTAATACTCTCCTATCATAGCTGGAACGGGCAACATGGGAAAAGGCACAGAGAGAGAGGAAAAGCTTTACATTTTTTCATCTAAGGATTTTTGTACTTATTCTTTTTCCTATTTATTCCCTAGTTCTTTACCTGGCCAACTCTCTCCACATTGAAGTATTTTCCTTTACGATTATAGAGCTCCGGTGCCTGAAAAACAAACACATACAAAAGGAAATTTTAACCCTAAAGTTGAATGACAACTAGTATACAAAAAAAAAAAACACTCAAGATTCAATTATTTTCCCTAAAGATCTCCAAGTTCAACCATCAGCAACAAAACCAGTCAGACACTGTACTTGGTATTCAGCAAACCAACACAGCTTACCTCATTGAAGTGCTCAGTAAGGAAATCAGCAACAAATGTGATATCTTTTTGCGTCATCTATAAGAAAGCAAGGAAAAGAAGGATGAAACTGCAAGGACTGCATCTTCTCCTGGCCAAACAAGCCCACCTCCCTCAGCCTCTCCCCCTGGGATGATTGCTCCAGCCTCCTTACAATCCTGGCTGCCCAGGATTGTGTGGTTGACAGCACTGCCCTTGCACTTATCAACTGCATCCCCCAGTCGGGTGCAGCCTGCAAGCACCACGCAGGTGTATTCCCAGCTCCCCTTCCAGGTCATTGGGAAAGGTATGAAAATCCCACTGACTTGGGTCACAGAAAAAGAGGGAACTGTTGGAGAAGGATGCACTAGAAGCAGGCTTTCGAGCCTTGATATTTTCAGAAATGGACTAAAAGAGGTCATTGAGGGCATATACGGAGCCACTAAGCAAGTATTTCACAGCTGTCACACATTCACATACATGCTTTGTAAAAAGAGCAGTATTAACAAAGAAAAGGCAATATTTGTGAAACAGTGCATTACTTTGAAGCTGAGGCCATCAACTTTCTCAAAGAAACAGTACAGATATTATTGTTCAAGTTTTGGAACCAAAATTCAGACTTTAACCCTGCCCTCTAAGTTCGGCAGAATATAAAAATATATCACCACAAATTAGCAGTGTTACTACTACCTTGTTCAGCTCAGGAAGCACGTGATCTTCTGACATCCTCAACATGGCTGAGGAAAAAATGATATTCTTTATTTACTAATAGTTCTTTTTCCCCCCTAATATTCTTATCTTTTTTTCACAGCTGTGTAATAATATTGGTAAGCTACAGTATTATTACACACTGGTAATAATATAGAAAGATTTTTCAGAAAAAAAAAGCCTCTAAAATGAAAGACTATGAATTGAGACTGCAATTAAGGCTCACTTGTCCCACTTATTTGCAATACTAATCTGCATATAGTTTTTTAAAAATCTTTTTTACCTGCATTCCAATCACTACAAGATGGAGATTAAATTATTAAGGGTTCGTAAGGATTTCTTTTCCTACTAACAGTATTAAAATGAAAATCTATAATGCACTGTTATATTGTGCATAACAATACTCATGCATTAAGAGAATTGCAAAAAAAAGTCATTTTTAATCAATAACGCGTAGATACAGAGCTCTCCCCCTAGTTTCACAAACAGCCATTATTTAAAGGGTTAATATTACATTAGAGAATTCTTATGGTTCTGCTTTCTGCAATTTTTAAGTTTAAAAGCACCAGAAATGTAGTTATAGCACCTACAAACTGGCATACAATAACTTTAATTATTATGAAATTATAATGACTGATGTGACTTACAAAATTGCCTTTTTTTTTCAACTCTAAAACAGTTTAAAAACTAAAATGGTAAATGTATTTACAAACACTTATAAAAACTAGCAACATTAAAACATCAAGTTCCTCAGTTCTTTCTTTATGTTTAATCTGTAGCTATTCAGCTACGGTTTGAGGAGACTATAAAATGCATCAACACATTCCGAGAATGTTTATACTTGTGCAGAACTTTACTGGTATCTAATTCCCTACCAGGGAAAAAAAAATAGGAGTACGGACCAGCCAGTCATACCATACTTCAATATTTGTATAAAACACAGCCCTCTCATTTCTCCAAGTCAAATTGGTCATGAAGCAGAAAACTCCTTGGAATAACATATTACAGGATAAGTATATAAAATACCTACATGTATTCTGAATTCTGTCCACATAAATATACCTGGGACCTATGGCTATTTAGTATATTGATCATAAATTTATAACCATTGTTGCTCCAGACATAACCTATTGTGTGTCCCAGAATTTTCTGTGATAACAATAAATAGACTTCAGATTGGCTTAATTACTTGCCAACATTTCAGTGTTTACAATACAAAATCAATGCTGCCTGCTTACTATGGAATAAAGCTTACCTACATAGAGCCATCGAAAAAACGCTTTGAAGTTTTTCATGCTGCTGTCAATAACCCTGTAGGAGAAACAAGAAAAGAAACTCCCTGGTCTCTATATCACACGCTGCCCCAGTTTAAGTTCCATCTTTGTTAAATGGCATATATAGGTGCAAGCATCAGGTTTTTTTAAAGAATGCTTAAAGCATCCTTCACAGTAAGACTGCTCTTGAGGTGGGATTCTCCAAGGTGCAGTGAGCTGAGATTTTCCCTCCCATCTTCCACTCCTCCCAGCCACATGATTCCCCACAGACACATGACTTAATAAGCTTTTTTTTTTTTTTTAACCTAAAAATAAATTAATCAATCTATCTGTCCATCTCCAAGTCTTATACTTACTGAAGCAACTCATTTGCTTTCAGGATGAAAGAACCAACAGCAGTAATAGCATCTACAAATAGAGCAGAACATTATTATTAAGCTTTAAAAAGTAAAATGAGAGTGAGTAAATAGCACAAACACCACTGTACCTTCAATTCCAGATGCATCTAATCCCAGAGACTCATATTTTTGTTTCCATAATGCCATTCCTTTCAATTCACTCAAGTGGTATAACAGTGCCTCAGAGCCACTAGGAAGGCAGAGCAAAGTAGTAAAGTCATTTATTGAGTCCTTTGGAAACTCATTATTTCATTGCACAATGAATTTTTATTACATGGGTGAAGTGGGAACATTTATACAGTAATCTAGTATATAAAAGCTATTTATGTGCAAGAAATTATTATTTCACAGAAATATGACTTTAACCACAACCCAAAGTTACTACGAATGTTTTGCATGGCTCCCACCCAAGCACTAGTCAGCGACAATGTTGGGATTCATAGAGATTGCTCAAAGTATGTTCAAAAATTCTTCAGCATCCAAAATTAGATTAGCTCATTTTGCATCACCACAGCCTCCACACCAACACACCTACGTCTACAAAACCCCTGATACAACACAAATGCTTTCACTGGGGCATATAATATGCCAATTTCTCTATGTTTCATTGCATATCTTGCAACTTACCTCTGTAGGTGACTTATGACCAACTTTTGTATACTGGAGTACGAAGACTCTATGGACTGACCAAGTTTCTTTAAACCCTGTTAAAAAAAAGAAATGTTAATATATGTTTATATAAGAGGATATCAATTAAAAGATATTGAAAAACATGTTTTGAAGATTTTAAAAACATTAACATACCTTTACTGTCAGCTGGTTCATTAATAATGCCTGAAGTTCCAGACTGAAGACAGGGGTTTGAGGAGAAAAGAGAACCAAATATGCTTACATTTTGTATTTCAATTCCAAATGCAAATGCATACTCAGATAAAACAACAGTAACTACCTTGCTTTGCCCCATAATAACAGCTGCATAAACTCATCCTGAACAGAAGTGGTTGTATTCTTTTCCTGCCAGTCAAAATGATTGAAATAGATAGGTAAAGAGATTAAATTCAGTCTACCAAATAATCTCACATTAGTATACAGGAAAAAAAAGAACATAGGAAAAAACAAGTATATTCTTGAATGTTGAAATCAGACTGCTGATCACTAAAACCTCAAAGTAATTTATTTTCAATTCTATTCCCCAGTAAAAATTCCAATTATTTCAGCATCACCAAGAACTTACGGTTTTAAAAAAAATATATCATTATTAGTTTAAATTAACTTTTAGCCATGATCAATGGCCACAAGATGTAAGCCAATCAACAATATTCAAAGCATGACTCCGCTACACTTGCTCTTTTGAAACTGGCTGCAAGTGCTGGGGGACTGCACTCAGTATCTATAGTGGGCAGCCTCTCCGTGACTGATTGATAGAACAACACAACCTTAAATAGAAAAAAACCTATCAGCAACTGCGGAAGTCAGAGATTATCACTTTGAAAAACTTGGAATAAATAAAATACAGAAATATGACAATATGATCATGCTTTATTAAATTCAGGTGTCTTTAGCTTCAAAGCATTTAACATGGAAGAGCTTCTGGGTTGCCTCAACTCAGAGACTGTTGTCTGGGGGGCATTAAACTTAAGGAGCATTAGGATGCAAAATAAGTTAAGAGCATCAAAAGACCTACTGCAAGAAGAGTATTTCTGCAGTACCTGCACAAACTTTGTTAGCCGGGAGTCCATCTGCATCAGTATTTCTTCCCAGGCTTCACACATGCATGTCAATGATAACTTTATATACTGTAACACAGACACAAGCATCAGAACTTTATAACTTTTTCCCAGCTTCAATACACATCAAGATCAAGATGTTACAAGGAGGAGATACACTAACCCTACCATAAAATATCCAAGTCAGAGATCTATATTAACTTAAAATCAACTTAAATTCCCTACTAGATAACATTTTATTTGCATTTTACAGACTGAAATCTATGGAAACTGTGAAATTAGAGATGTCAAAGCAAAACTGTACCTGTAGAAGAGTTGAAATGTGAGTAAATTTTCGAGCCATTCGAGTTACTTCAGGTAAGTAACTTGATAAGAGACTGGTGTCCAGCTGTGACAAACAAAACAAGTAACAGTTAACAGATGATTTGTCTCTAGAGAAATTTTAGACTACAGAAAAGACAGATTGGGAGGAATTCACAAAAAAAAAAAAAAAAAAACCCCACTCTTTTCTCATTTCCTCAAGATTGATTTTAAGAGGGAAATACATTCTAAGTCAAAGATGCACAAATAATTTTGATAAATCAACAGAAATTCACAATAAAAATTCTTATTTTGGCATTTTGGAGTCCTGACAGTAATATTTTAGGAACGTCTATGCTTGACAGCCTTCATAATTTACCGCATTGCTGATGTGTCTTTGTGTGCAAAATAAACAAAACCTGAATAAATACAAATATAATTGAATAAATTAACGTTGTACGCAAAGTAATATTTTAGAAGAACGTCTCACAGCTTCACTTTGAACAGTCTCATCAGTGAGACTGCAGGTTAATGTGACAAGCCCAAAAGCTAAACTGAAGTGAATTTTAGAAAGACTGAAGAGAGTAGTTTGTAGTTTTCCTGCAAATAATAGGAAAACACGAAGCTACTTGAAAGTAACTAAACTACAGCTTTTTTACTCTTATTTTACTTGCCTGAAAATATGTCATCTCTGCTTCACTGTCTGGAGAGTCTTGTATCTCTGTAATAACTGATAGTGATTTCAAATCACTAGATAAACATAAGCCACGACAAGAACCTGGCACCTGAAGGATTCAAGTTTAAAAGTTAATGAAATTATACAAGAAATACAACCACGTATTTACTGTGCTAGTAGATTTACCTACAAAGGTAGCTGCATTCAATCACATACAAAAATTCAAAATAAAATTTTCAGCTAGTGTACTGAAACTAAAGCATCCCTTACTGTGGATTAATGCCAAATTAGTTTGTTTCACTTGAAACAAGACGTTGAACTATACAGGGTTGCTGACAGACAGGCAATCATTCCTTTCTTGAAACAATGCCATTTCACTCACTGTTAAGCGTGCATCTACTGTTTTATTCAATCTGGGAGTATTTTGAGGAAAACTCCGTGGGAAGCAAGTGAACGTACCCCAGTGACGAGAGCAATTTTGAACATTCCGTAGGCATAAACCTCAATGAATCCCGAGCTGCCACCAAGAACAAGAGCATTGAGCCTGTAAAAGGAGAAGAATACATGTTGAGCAGTGTACCAGAAAATAAAATTGCCAATTCTTCTCTCTGTATCTTATCTTCTGTATCTTGTTTTCTATCTATATTTTCTGTCAGAAGTTACACCTGTCTGCCAGATTCTAATGCATACAAATATAATCCTTAATATTTAAAACACAAGTCTGTTAGTAAAGATACCCTAATGAATCACCAAAAGAAACATTGCACTGGCTATGATCTAAGAAATCAAAGAACAACCAACAGTTAGTAGCTTGGATTTCACTAATACAACTCCCGCCCTTAAATATACACAGAAAGTATTAGCAGATACTAAATGGGAGAGAACAGGAAAAAAATAACAGGCAAAATTGAGGCACAGAAGTCCTCCCTCACTAACTTAAGTCTTTACAAAGGGAAAAAGTAACAGGTTTTAGCATCAGGCCACTTTCCAACATAGACGACAACGTATTCTCAGGAATCAGCTTTTTGTTAACACTACTCATTCTGTCCCAATTACATGCAGAACAAGCTTGTGGCAGTCACTCTGTGACAGGTAACCAAACATTAGAGTCACGAGGAAGAACAGGACCTGGCACAGATCACTCTTGGCTCTCCCTACTCACTTTGTTTTTCCATTAAAAACATGAAACTTTGGAGAAGGAGTTTGTCTGTTGCTGTCCTACAGCAATATACCTTCAAACTACACATACTTGCTTACATTACAATGAAGAGTAATGCCATCCAATATAAAAAAAAGGATGACATTTTACATGTCCCTGTATAAACATCAGAAAATTAACTGCAGTTTCTGTCTATTACACAGGTTACCATATGAGAAAAGGCAATGTTTCCATTAAAACAAATACAGAATTCAGCACAGCAGTATCTGGAAAGCTTTTGGTTCATTTAACTGGATGTCTGAAAGAGCACAGTCAGGAAAGCTCCTACAACACATACACACACATCCCCCCTCTTTTTTCTTAGTCCTACTGCAACAAGAGATATCAAGTCTTAGGGAGAAATAATTGGTGCTAGTGCAGAGAGGTAGATTTTGAAATGAGCAGCATGATTCTCGGCGATGGGTCTATATGGGCCAGTAAGAGAAAGGAAATGGAAAAGCAAACACAGAAGCAAAGTGCCCTCCTGCAGGTTGCAGAGCAAGTGTTCAGCAGAGCTGATCTCCATCTCATACTCTAGTTTGCAGGAGGCAACTGCTCCTCACTGGTTCCCCAGTAAAAGATACCTTAAAATAACGAAGTATTCTGAAGTAACCTTAACACAGCCCACTTCAGGTTATGTGTCAAGTTTAGCTCTGTTACCCTAAGGCAAATCCACAGCAAATCCCTGCCCGGAACAAGAAGAACTCACAATGTTCCCAAGATCAACTTAAGTAACACACATAACATTCCCATCAAATGCAGACCGAGAAAACATTCTCCAAGAAAAGCATCTATGGCAGCAACAGCAGCTGCAGGTAAGATAATCAGGACACACTGGGTGGCCTTTCTAAATAGAAAGGGGAAAAAAAAGGAAAGTGATGAAGACTTTTTTTTTTAATTATAATACATTCTTTTGACTTCATCTTTGTACATGAAAAGAGAGACATTCCACATCCTTCCTCCATAACCATTAAAAATAAGTTATTAATAACTTAAAAAGGAAAACTATCCAATATTTTACAATTAAAAAAGAAAGCCACAGAACTTACCTTACATCCCCCAGAAGCTTCATAATCTCGTCTGATTTTTCTTCACTGAAAACAAAAAAAATATGATTGGGATTTACGTAACTTATCTCAATAACAGAAGAAAATAAAAAGAAAAAAATAAATAGAGATAAAATGAGTTTCTCACCTAAAGATTTTCGCAGTGGTGCTATAACTGAAAATAAAATAATTAGTAACAATGAGCACGTGTGTAATACAAAGCATTTTACTACATTAAGATTAATAATCAAAAAAATGACAACACGACAAATCAGATCTTCATTGCGTAATTCTTACTTTTTTGGTAGCGCAGGTAATTTAGGCAGAAGGAGATTCGACTCATCCTCGGCGTTGTAAAAGGAAGTGAGAACACTGAAAAGGAAGAATGACTGTCTTTACTATCAAAAAGGGGAAAGGAATTTATTTCTACCCCCAAGTTACAGCAGAGGCTCAAATGGTCACAATGTATTAAAACACCCTCAAGCATTTGCACCCATGACAAATCCACTAAAAGGCCAGGGAGTAATAAACACAAATGAAGTTAAGATTTAAATACAATATTCTCTTTGATTAACAAGACAGATGAATATTATTATTACAAATGGTTTATAAATTAATACATTAGTTTGCACTGATGTAAACTGAAGCAGGAGACAGTCCTCATATTAACACCAAATTAAGCAAGCTCTTAACAGATGAGTGCTCAAGTCTTGCTGCAATATTCCCATATAACCTAAAGGAACCTTAAGACTAAGATTACATCACTACAACTAAGCATATAAAAATGCCAATTCCAAAGTTAATTTTAATAAAAAGGTTAGAAAGTGCTAAAGCTATGTATTGTAGTCTTTCATTTACCCACTTGTAACATGCTAACTATATATTATATAGTAGTACAGTCTATGCAGTACACAGCCCACATTTACCTGTAGAGCTTTTCAGACCTACCTGCTTTCCTCAGTTACCTCCATCCAGTGCATGTAGGTAATGGAAGAGTCCACGGAGAAGGAGTGCAAACTTTCAGGTTTTTCTACATCACACAGAATAATCCTCTTGGTATCATTCAGGCCAAAAGCCAAAACTAGAGAAGGAAAAGTATAATATATTAACAACCAACATGCAAAACTTCGTATTTGTTTTATGCCAAACTAGAGAACAATGTTCCTTCAAGGCCTATTACTGGACAGAATAGTTGAATATAGTTTTCTCCTTGTCTTTTATTAATTCAGCCTCCAAACTCCCAGTTAAAATCTATTTTCTCCTATGCTATTTTAAATTCTCCTATACTAAATTTAAGTCAAAAGTCTGATCTTACAATTATTCATCTGCATGTTGGACCATACATGCTTCTCACGACAGTTCTTACAAAGCACACGCATTAGTTTCTGCAATTTTGAGGCTAATCTAGATTTGAAGACTCTTTAATAGCAGTTTTTGTTTTATTACAGCAAGGTAAAATTTGGGACTCACTCAGCTACATTTGCACTCAGTACGTCCTGATCTACGTCCCGAGGATTGGAAGAGAGCCAACGTCACTCCAGTCTTCAAAAAGGGCAAGAGGGAGGAGCCGGGCAATTACAGGCCGGTCTGCCTCACCTCCCTCCCTGGAAAGGTGATGGAGCGGTTCATCCTAGAGAGAATCTCCAGGCATATGGAGGAGAAGAAGCTGCTGAGGAGCAGTCAGCATGGATTCACCAAGGG